GACTGTATGGAAAATAGTACTCAAGCAAGACTGTATGGAAAATAGTACCCGAGCAAGACTGTATGGAAAATAGTACACAAGCAAGACTGTATGGAAAATAGTACCCAAATGGAAAAAAGTACTGAAGCAAGACTGTATAGAAAATAGTACCCAATCAAGACTGTATGGAAAATAGTACTCAAGCAAGACTGTATGGAAAATAGTACCCAAGCAAGACTGTATGGAAAATAGTACCCATGAAGACTGTATGGAAAATAGTAATCAAGCAAGACTGAATGGAAAAGAGCTCAATACAGTATTAATCTCTCATTTCATCAAAAATAGTGTAAAAAGCTTAATGTACTTTAGTTCACAAAGTAGTATAAATTAGTAATTAAATCCGAAAACAAATATTAATGAATTATTAACCGTTCAGAAATTGTTTGATTTTTTTTCTGTCGTCTTTTTTTCAAAAATCTGCATTATGTAATAATATTGAACTTTTAAAGAAAAAAAATATTTTCAAATGTGCAGCCACCTGAAAACCAAACAAATTTAAATGTTTAAAAAGATTAAAAAGGTTGTTGCTCGTAGGTCGGAACCTTTGTGTTGAGTATCGCTAATCTTGATTGCATGATATCTCGATATCCAATGCGGGCACTTTTAAGTTTTAAAATAAATGCTTGATTTCTCAACAAATCATCCGTGCAGGTTATGACCACCATTGGATATCAAAAGGGTCTGGAGATCAATGCTTAATCTCCAGATTAACAATACAATAGTTCTGACTCCAGAGGTCGGAATCTTGTTCGGAGTATCGTTAATCTTGAACCCTTGATCTTGTTTTTCTATGTGGGCACTTTTAACATGAAGGGTCACTTGAAATTCCGCTTATAGTTCATTAACGCGCATATTTCTATGTTTGAAATGTATCTAGGTGTTGATGTGAGTGCAGGTTTACCCATCCAGCCGCTAGCCATGCAGATCCTGGATAGTTTGTCCGTTCACAGCAAGATGTCTCTACTGCATCATATTGTTACTCATATTCTCAAACTGGTAATATACTCCCACCATTAAGTGACTGTTAAAGGACAATTTCTAGGTCGTCTTTGAAATTTGCGGCATTCATTCTTATAGTTGGTTTTACACGTACAATTCTTGAAGCAATAATCATTCTTGTGTAAGTAGTTAGATGAATAAATGTCGGTAAATAGTTCAAAGATCAAATACGATAGTTTTTAGTTCCTAGATAACAATTTATCACTTTAAATCTTGTAGTTTTAAAGTTGTTAATGTCAATTTTAATGACCATGACCATGATAATAATAATAATAATGATAATGATAATGATAATGATAATAATAATAATAATAATAATAATAATACTAGGCTGGTGCTAAGTCTGTAACCTGTATATCTCCTGGTATGGTTGAGACGTATACCCGTCTCCTTGTCTACTCTGAGCTGGAGTCCCTGGGTATTAAAGGATTCATGAGCCAACTCCTTCCCAAGGTTGTACTTTTTCTTTCATTAAGTAGAGATATCCTTATTTTTATGGCTGATAATTGAGTGCCGGAGAGAACAGTGGACCAAATTTAAAACGCCCCTTCCTTTATAAAGGCTGACAATTATCTGTCTGGAAACCTGAGGTCATAATTACTGTGTATTCTTGAGTATTAGTTCTTGTCAAATTTCAGGTATAAAAATAAGGATATCTACGTCATTATCAATTAGACAACGGTTTGTTGTTAATCGAACATGTCACTCTATAAATGCAAGATCACTTGAAATTTTGTCTAAAGTCCCTTTAAAGGAATTTTTCGTATATTTAAAAATACTTCAAACACCTGAGATGAGGAACACAACTAATTCTATATTTGATGTTTTTAAATGCACAATAGAGAGAGAGGAAATCTTCGAGTAGTAAATAAGCTTAGTCATAAACGAATAAAAAGTTAATAAAGCATTCATACTTTTATTTCTTTAAAAAAACGCGAAATAGTTATGAGCTAAATAGGGGAGATTTCGGGAATCAAAGTAATCTTGTGGATAATTTTCTTAATTTTGCGTACAGTTAGAATTGTATAAGAACACGTTGGGTTCTTCTAAATACCCCCCCCCCCCNTGTTAAGATAGATAGTCAGGAGAGGTTGTTCTTTTTTCAGAATCACATAATCACATTTTTTCAGAAACAATCGCATGCTTATCATAATTTTTTTCTCTCCAGGTTTTTGGTTTGCAAGCTTGGTCTTTTTTGTATACTCTACTAGAGATATTCAGCTATAGGGTTCATCACGTACAGGTTGGTTTTTAACGTTTGAGGTGTGTAACTATTTTCTTGAAAATAAATGTTTTCTGACCCAATCCACTTTTGAAAATTTTGATGTATTTAGGCTCACTATAGATTAAATCTACTGACCAGTTTGCACAGTATGTCCAACCATGCTCCCAACCAGGCACAGCTGAATCTTATGCTGGAGAGCTCTGCGCTCAGGTTAGATATTAAATATATTGCGGCATTATATCTCACTTGTGCTTCTACAGAGCGTCCCATATCATATTAGATTATCTCCAATCTTTAACGACAAAATAAACCCTTAATACTCGAAAAACTTATCATTTTCCGCAAGCAAATTCTTATATAAGCCTTATGTTATTTTTCAAAATGATTCATTCTAATTAAGTTTTCTGAATAGTCCCTAAAATCGCAATTTAGACCTGTTGACGGTCTAATATGATGTGGGACACCCTGTATAATCTGTACATTGTGTTTTTGTGTGAAGATTATAGAACAGAATACAAAACCAAAAGATTAAAATTAGCCGATTAAAGGTGCAGCAATTGGATACTATTCAGGCAGTAATAGTAAACCAGCATATACTCTACATGGAGAATCAGAGGAATTAAATAGAATGGTAAGGTATAGTGCTTGGATATTATTCAGGCAGTAATAGTAAACCAGTATATACTCTGCATGGAGAATCAGAGGAATTAAATAGAATGGTAAGGTATATATAGTGCTTGGATATTATTCAGGCAATAATAGTAAACCAGTATATACTCTGCATGGGGAATCAGAGGAATTAAATAGAATGGTAAGGTATAGTGCTTGGTTACTGTTCAGGCAATTATAGTAAACCAGCATAAACTCTGCATGGAGAATCAGAGGAATTGAATAGAATGGTAAGGTATAGTGCTTGGATACTATTCAGGCAATTATAGTAAACCAGCATATACTCTACATGGAGAATCAGAGGAATTGAATAGAATTGTAAGCTATAGCGCTTGGATACTATTCATGCAGTAATAGTAAACCAGCATATACTTTACATGGAGAATCAGAGGAATTAAATAGAATTGTAAGCTATAGAGCTTGGATACTATTCATGCAGTAATAGTAAACCAGCATATACTCTCAGAGGAATTAAATAGAATGGTAAGGTTTATTGCTTGGATACTATTCAGGCAGTAAAAGTAAACCAGCATATACTCTAAAAGGAGAATCAGAGGAATTAAATAGAATGGTAAGATATAGTGCTTGGATACTATTCAGGCAGTAATAGTAAACCAGCATATACTCTACATGGAGAATCAGAGGAATTAAATAGAATGGTAAGGTATAGTGCTTGGATACTATTCAGGCAGTAAAAGTAAACCAGCATATACTCTGCATGGGGAATCAGAGGAATTAAATAGAATGGTAAGGTTTAGTGCTTGGATACTATTCAGGCAGTAATAGTAAACCAGTATATCCTCTACATGGAGAATCAGAGGAATTAAATAGAATGGTAAGGTATAGTGCTTAAATACTAGGCAGCAGTGCTTAGGATCCGGATCCGTTGGATCAGCAACATATTGGCTTTCTGAATTTGAATCCGCCTAATATGCGGTTCCATGGATCCGGATCTAAAGGGCATAATACTTGCCACAAATTATTTTTTTTTAAATTAGTGATTATTAAAGTGGATAGGTCAATTGGCCATGTTTTAAAGAAAGTATATTTTTAAATCCCTAAAAATTTCTAAAATTAAAACAGAAGAATGAAGTTTTATACAAAGATAAAAAAAAACATTTTGAAGATTTTCAGAAATACCTTAGATGATAACTTTTAAAATGATATATCTAATTGAAATCGGGAAACGCATTCTCTCAGTATCAATAATCCTAACCTCCCCTTTACACCCTTGAATTTTGATCACTGAAATAGTTTGAGTTTAATTTGAACCGAATCCGTCCATTCAAAAGTTTTCATCTATCAAAAACTTAGTTTTAATGCCGTTATTTCAGGTGATTTTAACGCTGGCTCGAACTATCCATATTGGTGGACTGGAGAGCAATGGATCAAGTTGGTTAAGGGAGGTGGTGGGAGGGATTATGCAGAGTACTCCACACTCCTGGCCCTCTCACACTCAGAAGTACTTTCCGCAGGTTAGCGATACAGTGGGACACCAAAAAAATGTAGTATTTTTTATGTATTAACATTTTTCTAACAAAAATCAGCAAATAATGCTTACGGATATTTCTCATCCCTCTTAATTTTTGTTTTTGCCTTGATAGAGTGGATGAATATTAATTAACTAGGGTTTTAGGGCTCTTTGCGCCCATCTTCTATTTCAACTTTGAATTGTGGCTTTATCTGTGAGCATCTTCTCTTTGTACAGTATAAAACAAAAACAAAACAAAGGTTGCGAATTTCATAATGTTTGTTCGCGCATTTTCAAAATTTTACAAAAATAAAAAACTTTTGAACACTTTTTAAAATTTTGGTCATTCATAAACCTTCCCTGGGGTCACGTGAGGTCCCACACAAAATTTGGGCCCGATTTAAAAACTGAAAAGTACTTATTTCAAGCTTTAGTTTATAAGGAGAAATTGGCAAATTGCTGGAAAAAATTTTCATGGAAAGCTTGCAACCTTTGAATCACTGTGGTCTGTGTTCAAGAAAGCATGAACAAATGAACTTGGCAATTTTTCGGAGGTGTCGAAAATTTGTTATCGAGAATTTTCACAAAAAATGGTATGATTAAAGTTAAAGGCTAAAGAAGTATGATTATAAATGATTATTAATGTATTATGATTTTCCTATAAAAGTCGACCCACTCAACTTAGAATTTTTTAACCAATTGCTAAGAACATTCCTGTGGTTCCAAGGAGTTCCCCAATTAAAATTTCAGACAAATCGGTCAAATGTTCATTAGTTTCTATCGGACATACATTCAGACAAACAGAGATAACTACTAAAGCTATTCGCTCATATATATTTTTTGTATATTTATATATGTTAGCGAATGGGCTGAACATTTTTGAGGTAACCCATGGGTGCCCAGGGAGTAACAGTAACATAGGATAAAAAAATTTCGAAATTTTTTTTCTTCAAAAATCGAAATTTTTTATTCGACGTTTTTTTCACCGATAACGCCGGGTACTTCAGCTAGTTTTATACAATGTAACAAAAGAATAAATGTTAAAAAGTATATATTCAGCCTTTGATTGAGTTGATGAATGAGTATCCCTCCATGAAAGAGCAGAGTGCCCAGCTTAAGAAGAATGTGGATGAAGATTGGAGTTATTGGAACTCCCTGTCCGGAGATACTGATAAAATTAATCATTTTACACAACAGGTATTATTATTATTGTTTGGATTTTTTAATTAAATATTTTTTTTTTGCCAAATTGTTTTTGGTAGAGTGCCGATTTCTTTTTCGCGCTCCCACTGTTCCAGAAAATCTTAAAGGGTCTTCTTCATAACTGTAGTTGTATTTTTTAATGGTATGTCTGATTCACAACGGCTTTACACCTTTTGCTTGTTCAAGGATGTTTAAAGGGTTTAATTGATAAGTACGTCTACAGTCTCTTTAACAATTTGATAATTATAATTCCAGGGTGTGACACCGACATTCCTCTGTCTGATTTGGAAAATGATTTTTGAGTCTGAAGATTCAACTGGAATAGCTCCGGTCGCCTACAAGGTAAATTCAAGAATTTTGACTGCTTTGCGCCCCTTTTCCTGCGCGGACCTTTTTTATTGAGGCTGGTTGTGTTAGGGATTCAGCCTCAACAAAACAGAAGCCGAATTTAAAGAATTTAAGTCGCGGTTTAAATTTAAGCCGCGGCTCAAATTTTGTTGGTTCCACTTAAATTTGTATTAAATTTTCAAGATTTAAGCCGGCGCTCAATTGAAACCGTTTTTGGGGATTTTAGACGTGGCTTAAATTCAAACGTACAAAACCTACCAAGCTTTCCTTGGAAACTAAGTATTCCCGACCTAACCTAACAAGCTAAGAACATTCCCGTTCTACCTAGTTCCCGATTGAAATTTGAGAAAAATCGGTCTAGGGGTTTCTGAGGTATGATCGGACAAACAAACAGACAGACAAGCAGAGATATATATAGAAGATATAGTAAATGAAATATGTTTTGATCGGACACACAAACTAACTGACAAACAGAGATTACTACTTCTTTTTTTATAATATTTATTAAAAATGCATCACAACAATGTTTTTCGCTCATCCAACATCTAAAAAAGTAAATGTTATTAAAATAAACAAATATAACTATTGCGAAGACGGAAATTAAACCATTTTACAACTCTGGAACCGGTTTTAATAAATTTGAGAGAGGTAACTGAACTACCTACGGCCAGTTCAACTACTATTCAAGTGCTCACTTGACTTGATAGGTCGAGGACCACCTACTTTGATGTCAGTTATATTACTGAGAGTACTTGTTATCCAACTAAGGTCTGCTCCAGGGAAGGTCAAGGACCATCCCTCCCTCAGGGCCTCTATAAATAGGGTGGTTCAGGTGGTTCGTTTTTCATTTTTTTCCCTATATTTTCTTTTATAGTCTAAATTTGTCATAATAAAAGTGAAGGAAATGTTTTCTAAGTCTTATGTTTCGTCCTTTAAGTATGTCAATTTTGACCCAGAAACTATCCAAATACGATGCAAAAACGAACCTGCTGTAACAATCGTTTTTTAACTTTTTTCCTAATTTTTATTTTTTAGAATAAAGATATTGCCAAGTTTAATAAAAGCAAACTTTATCATTTTAAATCTTGGAAGTTTTATTGAATTGTTTCTAAAAACTATCCAACACGATTAACAACACTATCTATAAATAGAGCCTAAGCATTTTATTTCTTAAATGTTACCATTGTCCCCAAGATTTTTAATATACTGAACCCTTTAAACTGTTTCCCGCGTTTTTAGAAAACAGCTGTTTTCTGCAAGACAATGGCTGAGATGTGTTTCTATCTAAACGAAACAAAGATAGCTGTCATCTATATTTGTAAAATTGCAATGTCTGTCTGATTGGTAATTGTTCGATCATAACTAATAAACGCCTTGACCAATTTGCCTCTAATTTTGATTTAGGAACTTCATAAAACCACAGGAATGTTCTTAGATCGGTTTAAAGTTTCTAAGTTAAGTCATATATAGATTAATGGCATACTTTTTTTTAAGAATTTTTCAAAATTAAGTTGAAAATCCCTTAGGTTTAAACCTTAAAGTTGAATCAAAAGTTTTCATTTGTTTTCTTATTTATCAAACATAATTTTATAATAATACAAGCTTGAGAACCCAGCTTTGTCTGGAAACAAATCAACCCACTCAACTTGTAAACCAAGTCTCAGGTTAAGAACATTCCAGTGGTTCTAAATAAAATTTGGGGCAAATCGGTCAATGTGTTTCATTAGTTATGATCAGTCTTACAAACAAACAGATTACTATAAATTCTTGATATAAACCACAAAAGTTTTTTTTTACATTTTTACCTTTAGCTCTTGTTTGATCTCCACAGAAGAGTAAACCTAGTTTCCCCCTGGATTGGCATCCATTCTTTACCTAAAATAAAAGTATAGCCCTAGAGCATAAAGAGACTGTTAATGTAATTTCAACATACCCTCCTGATAAAGACTTAAATTATACATAAGTCACAAAAAGATTAAAAAAAGAAATCTTTAAAACAAATTTAAGATTTTCGTTTTAGGTTTTTCTTACATTTTATAATCCAAAGCATCTTAACATCCTTTTTCTGCAAAAATTTAATCTAACATATGTCTTTGCAAATAAAATAAAATATATGGAAATATCACAAAAATTTTTTTTGAATAATGCGTCTCATATATTTTGATAAAAAATATGGAGAGGCATGTCCTATTCACAGCGGTACCCTTAAAAGCTTTGCATGATTAAGAATGAAAGAGTATTTTTCTCTTGAAAATTATTTTTTACTTCCAATTGCACGTTCTCTATAAATGTGACTTGTGGCTTTCTTGCTACTGAAAGAAAGGGTAAATTGTAAGAATTAAACCCTTTTTCACGCTATAAAAACAATTAAAACTTCCACATTATTGATTAGATAAAGATTTTAAGGATACTGTTGTGAATTAGCCCTATTTCATTGAAATCACATTAACAGTCTCTTTAATAATAATGTATTTACCTTTTCAATTGCATCAACAACATGGGGTTCGGTAGGGGTTGCTTTTGGGAGCACCCCAAGGGAAATAGAAAGATCGCAGGGTCCTAGGCATCATTTAAATTAATTAATTAATCTTTTTTCTTGTTTCGTACATTTTGATGGTAATGACAAATTTTGCGGATTTACTTTTTTTTCCAAATTCGATCTAAAAGGGTTGACCGACCATAGACCGTCTCTGGAGGATCATGTGAGATGACACCGGTTCAGACCTTTTGAAGTTAATTGGATACAAATAAACAAACGTTGCATCGCACATTGATATGTAGGATGATATGATTATGTTCTGTTTACCTACGAAGGCTCCATCTAGTCCATCAACATCCAAAATGTCATTTATGTTATCAACTGCCTCTTGGGTTTCAATCATAGCAAATACCTATCATATAAACATGTCAATTTAATCTTCTATTTGAGTCCTAGTCACATGTTACTTTTATAGTAATTGTTCACTTATAAACAAACGTTGCATCGCACATTGATATGTAGGATGATATGATTATGTTCTGTTTACCTACGAAGGCTCCATCTAGTCCATCAACATCCAAAAAAATGGCTGAGATGTGTTTCTATCTAAACGAAACAAAGATAGCTGTCATCTATATTTGTAAAATAGCAATGTCTGTCTGATTGGTATTTGTTCGATCATAACTCATAAACTCTTTGACCAATTTTCCTCTAATTTTGATTTAGGAACTCCGTAAAACCACGGGAATGTTCTTCGATTGGTTTAAAGGTTCAAGGTTTAGTTGGTAGACTTCTAAAAGGAAAGTTTAATTTCCAGGCAATGCTAGTCTTTAAAAAATTCATAGATTTAAAGGATATTTTTTCATTCATTGAAGGCATACTTTTTTAAGAATCTTTCAAAATTAAGGTGAAAATTCCTTTGGTCTAAACTTTAAAGTTGATTCAAAAGTTTTCATTTGTTTGCTTCATTATCAAACAGAATTTTATAATAACACAAGCTTGAGAACCCAGCTTTGTCTGGAAACAAATCAACCCACTCAACTTGTAAACCAAGGTTCAGGTTAAGAACATTCCAGTGCAGTGGTTCTAAATAAAATTTGAGGCAAATCGGTCAATGTGTTTATTAGTTATGATCAGTCTTACAAACAAACAGATTACTATAGATTCTTGATATAAACCACAAAAGTTTTTTTTTACATTTTTACCTTTAGCTCTTGACACATTGATATATAGGATAATATAATTATTTTCTGTTTACCTACGAAGACTCCGTCTAGTCCATCAACATCCAAAATTTCATTAATGTTATCAACTGCCTCTTGGGTTTCAATCATAGCAAATACCTATCATATAAACATGTCAATTTAATCTTCTATTTGAGTCCTAGTCACGTGTTACTTTTATAGTAAACGTTCACTTATAAAAATGGGACCAACTTGCCTTTACAAGCAAATTAGCTTGAGTGGTATCTGGGTTAGCCAAAGCTCTAGATGGGCCCCAAGATCTAACCCCCATCGGAGGATATCTAAATAATTATGTAATTATAGAATTTAAAGGCCCTTTGCAACATATCTTCTAGCAGTAATTTTAGATCTATAATGTTGGTTTCAATCCACCATTTTTCTTTGTGCATCAGGAAACATAGAAATTTCGCACATTTTCCAGATTTAATTTTGGTTTATACACGTCAGGATATGTTAAATATAATATTATTAATGGATAGAACATTGGGGAGAGTGCTGTTTAGAAAATTAAACTTTGGAAGTTGGCACTTGAAAGATTTTTTTACTTGGGGAATGTCCTTAAAAATGTGTCACTTGGGAAAATATCTTTAGAAATTGTCACTTGGGGAATGTCCTTTAAAATGTGTCACTTGGAAAAGTACCTTTTGACATAGTCACTTGGGAAAGTACCTATAGAAATTGTTGACTGGGAAAGTATCTTTAGAAATTGTCACTTGGGAAAGAATCTTTAGAAATTGTCACTTGGGAAAGTATCATTAGAAATTGTTACTTGGGAAAGTATCTTTAGAAATTGTTAATTGGAAAAGTACCTTTAGAATTTGTTACTTGGAAAAGTATCTTTAAAACTTGTGACATGGGAAAGTACCTTTGAAAATTGTTACTTGGGAAAGTATCTTTTGAAAATTGTTACTTGGGAAAGTATCTCTAGAAATTGTTACTTGGAAAAGTACCTTTAGAAATTGTTACTTGGGAAAGTATCTTTAGAAATTGTCACTTGAGAAAGTACCTTTGGAAATTGTTACTTGGGAAAGTACCTTTGGAAATTGTTACTTGGGAAAGTACCTTTGGAAATTGTTACTTGGGAAAGTACCTTTGGAAATTTCTACTTGGGAAAATGTCAAACATTTCCTACCTTGAGTTTATTACCAATAGTTTTGCATCTTCTGCATTGATTATCATTGGGGCCACGATACCTTAGAAATATAGAAAAAAACATCATCAATAAAAATTTGAAATTTAAGATTTTAAAGAAAAAGAAATGCACATAAATTTAAACTTCAAGATTAAAGTTCGGCGTTACTAATAATCTAATTTTATTTTGCTTATTTTACGAAATTCATTAACCATTATTTGAAAGGATTTTTTTCACACTTTTTAAAAGTTTTTTTTCATTTTACCAAATGCTCCGGCATCCAGTGCTCTCTGTACCAAGCCTGGATTGTTGTCTGCTACTCGAACCTGAAAAGAAATGTAACATTTTAGGCTTTGGTTTTTTAGCTAGCTATTTAGACGACTTTCCCCTTCGTACATAACCAACAATAATTATTTTAGACTTGTGAAATTTGTTTATTTTAATTGGAGGATTTAAAGAAAATAAGTATAAACCTTAAAAGGGATATTTTAAAAACCACATCTAATTCGTATTTTTAAGTCAATGACGTTATTTTTTTACATTTTTCGTTTAAGTTAATTTAATTAATTTTGAAGAATGTAAGATAATAAGATGTAAGATAATTAGATGTAAGATAATTAGATGTAAGATAACTAGATGTAAGATAATTAGATGTAAGATAATTAGATGT